TATGGGCGGTGCGTGGGAGAGAATGATCAGATTTATAAAATCCATATTATCCGAGATATTGGTAGAGAAACATGTACAAGAACCAGTGTTTAGAAAGGCACTGGCAAAAATATAAAATATGCTGAATTCCAGACCCCTGACTTACGTGCCATTGGAGAGTCCAGAAGCTGACGTACTTACACCAAATCACTTCCTGAGAGCAGAGACTAGTTCGATGGCAGCGAATGACGACAGCAGAACGATCGGAGCTTCACTTGGTAAGAGTTTTCAGATTGCGGACAGTTTCAGAAAACGATGGCTGAAGATGGCTATCTACCATGTCTTGCTTCACGAACCAAATGGCATGGCCCTCCAACCAACCCCATCCAAATAGAAGACGTCGTGGTTCTAGCTGACGAAACAAGCACCAGGGCGCAGTGGAGGATATACGTCATCATGGACCTTTGAGTAGCCAAGGACGGGATGGCCCGCAGCGCGGTGAACTATTGTTGAACCAATTGTTAAGCTGGCCAAGTTAGACGTGAAGACGACAAATCAAGACGTAACCAGAAGTTTGGCAAAAATCACAAAAACGACGAAGCTTGCGAAGGTGGGGAATGTTACGGCATGAACCTAAATGGCAGCGCGAAAGACCTTTGCGCCTAACAGTACCGAAACTAACATATGCCGAGTAAGCTGTTCTCTCAGTCCACATACGGTCCCGATAGGCAACTATCGATATAAATCTGTGGATTCCGCTCGTGTTGCTGGATACACACTCCAGGAAAACGTAAACGAAAAATTCCTGCCACAGTTTTTTTATATGGAGTTTGACAGGAATTTTGCGATTCCGCGGTGCTGGATACTATGCTTTAATGACGATATGAAAGGTATCAATCACGGGTGCCACAGAAATTTCTAGAGATTTTGACTCGAGAGATTTGTCAAATCAACCGAAAAATCCGTAGGTGCCACAGGATATCTAGAGATTTCATTTTTCGGACACTTTTTTCGGAGTTCACGCGCAACAATGAGAATTGTAGCTCAGAGTTGTAGTGCTTCAAAAATAATTTTGTGAAATGCTGGTGTTTGTTTATTTCATTGTTTTTCATTAGGGATCTGAGAAGGATTGTTTTGTATAAAGTTACTCAATACAACTGTAACACTTTCTTTGACACACTTTACGTGTTTGAGCAGTGAATTTAAACAAATCTCTAGCCATAATTCTAGAGACTTTAAAACCAGCCGAGACAGCATGCTGTGGTACCTTGCAAGCCAACTCAGTTGGAATTCGGTCGGTTTGACAATCTGTGGCACCCCTGAATATATGTATATGCAATAGATTTGTAGATATGCACTAGATTTCACCAATTACACTACTCGACAAAATCCAACTTTTCTTTTCCCCAAGGATCCAAACCGACTTTTTCTGATAGATATGGGACTTTTAAATTTTTTTAAGAATTATGGTCTTTTTCTATAGCAGAACTTTTTTTTTAAGAATTTTTGAATTTGAAGACTTTTCCCGAGTTTTTAAAATAAAAACTTCGTTAAAAATACCGCAAAAAAATCATCATTTTTGCATTTCAATGCTTTATGTTTCCCAGACGGTATTTGGGCTTACCTTGTAGCTGTTTTAATTATCTTTTCAAAATAGCAAAGTTCTTTACAACCAGATGTCCTATAAGCTACCGGGCCAATGCAGCATATTCCAGGCGGAAGTCTACGCCATACGGAAAGCGGCGGTGGCATCTCAGTCCATCGATCGTTCACACGGCGTGGTAAACCTGTTCGTGGACAGCCAGGCGGCGATAAGATCCATGCAGTCGTCAGCAGTCAGTTCTAGAAATGTCCTGGCGAGCAGGCAGGCATTAGACTACCTAAGCACGACAAAGTCAGTGCGGATCTATTGGGTTCCCAGCCACCAGGGCATCGAAGGTAACGAGACAGTGGATGTACTGGCTATGGAAGGCGTCGGGCTGGCGATTGACAGAACCTAGAACGTGCCTGTCTCCCTTAGAACGCTTCAAAGCGATCTGGAGAAACGAGCGGACACGAAGGCCAGAAGGAGGTGGAAGAGTACCACCACCTGCAGAATCTCAAAAACCATGTGCAAGGAGCGCAATGGTAAACTTAGCCACTACTTACTGCACCTACCACGGAAGGACTACTGAATGTTAGTGGGAATACTCACAGGTCTCACTGAAGCACACGCAGTCAAACTAGGAAATGCGATGAAGAAGGGGCTATCGAAACCCTGGAACACCTCATATGCAGCTGCCCGGCACTATCACCTCTATGAGGACACCAGGGGAACTGCTTGCCTTCGCGAAAAACACCTCGATGCTCAAGGACTTCGAAACCTCACAACAGTGAAGAAGGTTCAGGCACCCCCCATCCGGACAACTAAGGGCCATATCGGCCTATGCGTGGCCCCGTGAGGGCCGTCCGGGTCAACCTAACCTAACCTAACAACCGGACAGAAGATACTAGAGTTATGTGAAAAAAAGAAGCCCTAACTCTGAAAAAAGCTTACAAAAAAAATATCAATATTCAAAAATTCTTAAAAAACGAGAAGGAACGTGCGAGTCGCTTCTGGGGACGTGACTCTACTTATACCCGTACTCAGTCAGTATTTACATTTTTGAGCATATGATTTTTTAGAATTTTAGAATTAAAACGAGAAGGAACGTGCGAGTCGCTTCTGGGGACGCGACTCCACTTATACCCGTACTCAGTCAGTATATACATTTTTGATCTTATGATTTTTTAGAATTTTAGAAAAAAAAATTTTACATTTTTAATTTTTTTGCTACATCTGAGATCTACATCTACATCTACAATGTATTTTCTACATATAACATGTAGATTGTACTATGTACATGTTCCATTTAGATTCTACATCTCCTCCGCCAAGGGTTGCTCGCGCACTGAACGCGGCAGAGTGTGCGAGCGAGAAGGAAAATGAGTTGAGTTGTCGTTTTCTGGAGGGGGGACAGGGGAAGAAGCTGAAAATGAATATCTTCATTCTGGCTATAATTATGATCCGATCTGATTTAGATTCGGCAATCTGGTAGATATGGGCATTCTCTACGATAATGCGTTTTTAGTTTTATCGTATCTTTAAAAATGTGCCTGCCACAGATTTTCGTTCTTTGTGGGGGCGGAAGGGGGCGGGGCGAAATTTTGAAATACACTTGTAGCAGTGTGATATCACATGAGTCTGGAAACCAAATTTCGTTGCCCTAGCTCTTATAGTCTCTGAGATCTAGGCGCTCAACAAGACGGACAGACGGACAGACAGACAGACAGACGGACAGACAGACATGGCTATATCGACTCGGCTATTGATGCTGATCAAGAATATATATACTTTATGGGGTCGGAAACGTTTCCTTCTCTGCGTTACACACATCCACTTTTACCACAAATCTAATATACCCCTTAACTCTTTTTTGAGTACGGGTATAAAAAGTTCTGCCATAGAAAAAAAAATATCATTAAACCATTTCTAAGCCCCAAATCTTTAAGAAAAAGTTGGTTTTGTTCCTTGAGGAAACTAGTGTCGAGTAGTGTAAGTAGCCGGGAAAAAATGGTTTGTTTTACAGTTTGCCCAAAAATTTGTACAGAAAAACAAAATCTGGCCAACTTACCGCTTATTTGCGATTGTCATTCTTTGTTATTTCAAATCGTTATCTCGTTGCTGCTGCACAATTTTGTCCACTTTATAATTTCTCCGATCTCTTTTAATTACACTACTCAAAAAAATTGAACTTTTTCTTTAGGCTGTTGACCAAAATTAATTTTTTTTCTGATAGATTTCGGGATTTTAAAATTTTTGTAGTACTTTTTTTTAATGGTTTAATTTTTTTGAATTTTTAAAATCTGGTATTTTTTTCATGGTTTTTTCAGAGGTAGTGCTTCTATTTTTCACATAAATTAAGTATATTATATCTTGTTGCAGTTCTGAAAAGCTGACAAATGCAGCTATAAATCCCACCCAGATACTTTGTATCTGCAGCTTAACGCCTGGAAGATGTTAAGCTTTCAAATTCAAATTTCATAATTCATAAAAATATGCCAAAGGAACACGTTCAGATACCAAAAATTCAACCCCTTTTCGTTTGCTTTGTCTCAAATTGGCAGTTCGGCCCGAAACCTTCCAAAAAGTATTTTTTTTGTCTATTTTTTCATGTTTTAGGTTTGGTTAACGATTTTTAGGTCCACCGTCTCTCCATAGATTTTAATGAACAATACCTTTAACGACGCCTAGTTAATGCGTCTATCTAAAACTAAAAATCCATGCCAAGAATTATTATTTTTTTCGACTTTTTCCAAGTTTTTAAAGTCAAAATTTCGTGAAAATATACCGCGAAAAAATTATGAAATTTGAAAGCTGAATATCTTCTAGACGTTAAGCTGCAGCTACAAAGTGTATTAGCCCGATTTATAGCTGCAGCTGTCAGCTTTTCAGAACAACAAAGTTCTATGCAACCAGTTATAAGATATACTTAAGTTATGTGAAAAGTAAAAGTAAAACATTAAAAAAATACCAGATTTTAAAAAATTCGTTAAAAAAAATCTAAACCATAAAAAAACCATAATTCGTTTAAACCCCGAAATCTATAAGAAAAAGTCATTTTGGGATACAGCCTAATTGTCGTGTTGACTAGTGTTATTGAGCCGAAAAGCAATGTGATTCCACCTCTGCGCGGTTTTAGTTAGTCGCTCTATCATTAAACTTGTTTCAGAGGCGTTACCTCTTCGGGTGAGTACCAGCATAGAAAAGACCAAGGCAGTAGCTGGGCTCACCTACCAGAACCTTTTAACAGCGAAAGTGCCCCATCCGCCATTGTAAGTAACTTAAATATCTTACATCTGGATGTAATGAACTTAAAAAGTCTGAAAAGCTTGTAAATGGAGCTATAAATTGGACCTGAATATTTTATAGCTTACAGCTTAAGCTTTAAAATGAAAAAATGTAAAAAAGTTTTGAAAACTCGGAAAAAGTAAAACCATGTAGGTAACCAGAAATTAATCAAAAATTTAAGCAAAACATCAGTTTCTCTACACCCTGTACAATTTCTTTGATAGTCGTATAGCTTCCAGCGATGTCCAGACTACCTACAGGGCTTGCCCGCTTGCTCAGTCCAGGATTGGTGCTCAACAATGAACTGAGCCAGAAGATAGCGGCCTTCGAGGCCATGAACATCCAGCGTGCGGAGCTAGATCGCGATATCAGTCTGTTGCGCAAGCAGCAGGACGATACTGAGGATCGTCTGGCCGAGGACCTGGCTGAGGAAGAGTTCCAGAACTACCTGAGGGGACGACAAGTCATGGAGCACAGCTATATAATCATAAAAAATATTTGTAATCAACGTCTGGGATGCATTGTCGAAAAGTTGGCTGTTAAGTATAGGCGTATTTTGTACCTTGATACCGACATAAGGAAGATTAAGCAATCTATCGAGAGTGGTATTATTGCGGCAAATGAGGAGTTGACAGTCGCGGCATCCATGTGATTTAAGTATGGCCTTTCTTAGTTCTGTAGCCGTCAGTATGAAAACCTTCCTTTCTTCTTACTACGTTAATCTTTTACTCAAGCCAAACATATCTTTAGAAGACAGGTAAGAATAAATTCCTCGTGAGTATATGCTGGGATCTTCTCAGTCTTCACTTGAAAATCTGTGCATTATTCCCAGCAGCTAATTAAATTCCAACCCTGAAGCCATACATAAACGTAAATCGGACCACGGTTTTCTGTGGACTCTACATTATATGATATGATATGTTTTCGGAATTATCACCACCGCTGGCTCCCATTGTTTGTTGCGTCATGTAAAATAAATATATCAAAACAGTTTCACCCTGTTTGAATTCTCAACCCTTCATTCACATAATCTCTGTCACCAATTCGTTGCACTCTTTTCCCTGGTTTATCAAATCCTTCCATGATGGAAATTTAAGCCCACCAATCGCATTTCCGTTCATTTCTCCTTCATTCACACAAACCATTGAGCCCCCAGAGATATTGTAAATTAAATTTCGTATACGAGCAGTTGCCGATGCGGTGACAGCAGTAGCAGACACACACCGTTGACCCTTCCGTTACGGGCATAAATTCAATAATGCCATGCGTCTGGCACTATCAACGTGCTGTGGAGTGTGGAGAGGAGTCTGGAGTGGCCGATCGATATAGTTACGGCTGCAAAATTTATTGCGTTTCTTCTAGCAGGAAGTTAAGGGAACGTCTTTGTTGCTCTCAATATGTGAATATGAGCTTTAGTTCGTCTATAAAAGCTGAGATCAGCTCGCCCAAAATGACCATAGAGTATGAGGTGCTCGGTAGTGGGGAAATTTGATTGGGTATATTCGCCAATCAATATAACGTGATGTTATATATCTATGCTCACTAAAGTACATAGATATTTAGTCGTAATTTATGAGATTAAGAATCCTTCAGCTGTATAATATGTATCAATATTATATATTGTATTTTAATATTGTAATCTGTTTTATACATAATTATCCCAGTGTCCCCTTAAATACTTATGTATATCCTGTATGGATAGGTGAGGTCAAAGAGATTGCAAATTAATTAATTTAACAACTAAATGTTTAATTATTCCACAGGGCCGCAAGTAAACATGTTAGCTAAAACTTTAATCGAGAGAAAACCACAAGATGAAGGATCTCCAGAAAGATTATATCATTTTTGTTACTTTTTAAGCATTAATGAACGTTTCAGAAACTAGATTCGATTTACTTACTGTGGTGTCCCGAGTAAAACGCTTTGAGAGTTGCTTAACGACTAACTTTATTGCTATCATCATAACAGTAGGTTTCTTAAAATGCAAGGTTTTTGTGTGAGTATAATATAAGTTGAGATGCGCGTTTAATTCAAAATAATATGTAACACTTGCACAATCCAAATCGATTGTACTGTTGCATTAATATTTTAATGTATAAAATTTGATGCCACAATGCATGGTTACGGTTTATATTTCCTTCAAGCATTAACAGGAACAGGGCCAAGCAAACAAGTCAAATAGAAGTTACTTGTCCAGACATAGCTCTAAACGAAACCATTTGAATGAAATTAGTCACACAGACAATTAAGAACAAGTCCAGTGAGCCAATAGCAAAGCCCTTGGCGTTTTTATATTTCATTTACCTAGTCGTTGGGTCCGTACCTTTAAGACAATCAGTCTTATATCTAAGGTCAATTTCTTACCAGCAGAGATATTAAGTTCTTGACTAATTTTAATACTGAACATTAAAATTAGACAATATTAAAATTTGTATTTATTGTAAATAATGTTTTGTATTTCGCCATCGATGTTTCTTTCTAGTGGTTAGCAATACAACAATTTTTTGAAGAAAATAGTGAGTCCTCGAGCATGTCAAGCAATTTTTCAATTATCGCTGACTATTGATTCGCTGAGTCAAAGTCTGAAATCTGGAAGTCCATCAATAACTAAACTTCAAAACTTGACTCGACATTTTTCAGCAGTCCGGAACTCGTTTGTCTTTATTATTTTAAATTGACGCGCCAGACATATTTCATCCGAGCGATGAAATATAGAATGAAGCGATAATGAGACGTTACTAATATCAACTTGAGGGCTGTTTAGTGACAAATCCCCTAGGCTCCGCGAACAAAAGACATTATGCAAAAAAGTACAAAGAAAGAAAAATGCTTAGATTGATCCTAACCCTAAAAAACTAAGCTGCCTCTTGTAGAGAAGCTTTCCCAAGTGTCCAGAAAACAAATGGCGGTAAATTTGTTTCTGCTTTCCTACGCCAACCTTAAATGAACCCTCCTTCCTTATACCGACAACGATGGCTTTTCGGGCCTTGAAGCATGCCTGTAACCCGAGTAAATAAAAAGGACTTTTGTGTATTAAACATTAAAATAAAGTTTATTAAAAAAGCGACAGTAGGGTGTAACAAAAAATTTTTGATTCCGCCCGGTGTGGGGTCTTTGTTTCAGTATTCTGCTAAAGACAATATAGAGTAATTATAAAATCAAGTAATAATTCATAGCACATATTGTTTATTGTTTCACCACATATGTTAACACATTTTTTGACTTTAGTCACAAACCCATCCTTCCGATCAGGGAATTTACAAAATTTAGTACAACAATTTCAAACAAAACCAAATATCTTGGAAATATTAAAACTAATTAAATTCCACGTCATATAAAGGCAACGGCGACATAGTCCAAACTAAAGACTGAAATTTGTGTGGGTCAACTGTGGTTTTTTGGGTCTTTTCAATTTGCTAGCAAAGCAGAAAAGCAAGAAAAATCATGTCATAATATATGGCCAGTCCTATACGGACTCAGATAAGGAAATTTGTGCCACACAACAGCTATCAGGGATGAAAAAACAAAAAAAAAAGGAAGACCTGGGCGGTCCGCAGCCGTCACAGACATAAATCAAATAAAATGCGGGAAAAAATGTGGCATAAAAAACCAAACAAATAAAGATGAGTAGAAACGGACAACGGTAAAGTGTTTCTGATCCTAAACACTGAACGAAAGCGGAAATAAATCATTAGTCCTTACCTTTTCAGTGGATCTGTAAGCCAAAATCAAAGAGTACCGCCTCAAGAATCAATCGGAGAATCATTTACATTTATTTAAACAGACCTTTTTCCCCCAAAAAAAAATGGTTTTGACAAAAAAATGGCTTAGTATTAACTAAGAATTCTATTCCGTGGATTACACTTACGAGTGAATCATTTATTTAGTGGTTTCGCATTTTCATAGAATTTTGTCATCCGTGGAGTATTTCGACATCGAGCCGCTCTCATGGAATTGATGTCTCTTCCAATCAGCGAGTCACACAATGAATGATTCAGTGATTCACTATGATTCACTCAATCATGTTAAGCATGGGCAATTACTAGTGCTCGGGGCCACGAAAGATAATGCGCACACAGGGACTCTCGACTCCCTCTTTGCCTACCCAAGCATATCGAATTCCCCGCTGCTAATTTACGTAATTGTGCAACATGCAACATACTCTTGAGTGAGGTGCAGACGGCGCCTGCAGTGGTGGTGGGTCGACAAGGCTAATAGTAGTCACACGTCTAATTGAAATAATTATGAGTACTCGTGTCATTCGCTACCAACGTGTGAATGGCTGCAGTTGCTTCCGTGTGCAGCGTCCTTGATCCGGTTACTTCTTTCTTTTTCGTTTTCTTTATTACATAGCCATAAAATTTAATGAATAAATATTATAGTTAGTTTGAACATGTTGGAAAAAAAATTCCTTTGTATATTTGACAGACTTCGGGACATCATCTCCTATGTGAAATACATATGTGTCTTTATTTTAGCTACCAATAGGATCCGAAAGGAGTGGGTGGGTTTCCACCAATGAACAGATGGCCAAAACAAGTGACAATAACAAGGCCAGCAAGAGTTGGCAGCTGACGATGTCTTCACTGATGGCCACCGAAGGTGAAGTGACCAGCAGCAGGTGGAAGCAGGGGGTGGGGGTTGCATCATCAGATCATTGCGGATAATTAAATATTTATACCGCTCGATGGGTGGGGTGCTGTGGAGTATGAGTATTCTTTAACACTACATAAATGTTACGAGTGTGGTGGAATAAAAATTAAGTCATAATGCGTTTTGTGGGACCCATAAAAACGCGAACGCCTACCACATTGTAAGAGTCCGAGGTCAGCACCGGTGCATAAAAGATACTTCCTTCCACATAAAAAGAGGGGGACCCGATTACGATTTCTGTGCTCATAAATCGACACTTCAAAGGACGGTAATAGGGATCGTAAAGTGGATGAACACAAAATCAATTTTTTTTTGAAATGTTTAATAAATTGCAACTAAGCTTCGCCGGAGGAACACGTGGCGTATGCGTCATTTAGGTAGAGTTGCGAAATTAACTCGAATACGACGACACTTAATTTGTCACTAAATGGGTTGCCTAATGCCGATTGGGGAGAGGCAGTAGCCATGTGGCAAGCAACATGTTGTGAAGCTTAAATTGAAAATTACAAAAACGGACCGAACGGGAACGGCATGCTGAACAAGAACAAGTCCCTTCTAGCATGCCACACTGCCTCAGTGGTGCCACAAAAGCACGTGACGCGCGTGGGAGCGTGGGTTATGCCCCTGGGTTGACGACGACGCATATGAAAATATTGCACGACAATTTATTGCCGTGCTTAAGGAGCGTGCGTATGAAATAATATACAAGAAGAACCACCTCGTCAAAGACCCAGGGCGGGAGCATTGAGTTTCACTCCATAAGCAGACTGTCCCGGCTTCCTGCTGCCGATACTGTTGACTCGGATTCTGAATTTTAAAGTATTCTTTAAATAATGCTGCCCGAACAGATGGCAATGATTTGTTCAAGGGACTCGGGTCCATGCGCTCCGAGCGGGAAAACGGACAACGGACATGAATATCCAAAATAAATTATAAGAAATAAGTTGATACACCTAACCATATCTCATATTATCCATCCCTAGTTCAAACTCTCTCGACTATTGTTACATATTTGAAGAAGATATGGGAAGAAGAGACGTTTGATTACTGGAAATATTCATATTTCTCATATTACTTACATAAGCATGGCTAACGCACAGCCAGCCAACACATATATTTACATGTGCATGAGTCCGGCACCGGGACGTTGATGTTTACAATTTATTTCGGCCGCAGGATATGCCTCACTTTTCGGAACTCCGAGAACAATGAATATATTGAATGTACATAGATATACGCATACATATTTGAGTGAAATTCTAAACTACATAATGCCAATGGAAACTGAAAACGTTGCACTTGGCAAGCAACGATTCAGAAACTGAAGGAAGAGCGGAAGGAGTTGTAGCTAGCGGGCAGACACTAGACAATGGCGGACAGCCCGGACTCCAGCCCGTAGTGACCAGCTCGGGACTAAGTCACGTCACGCAGCCCTCATTGTTTGCAGAAGTAAGTAAGTGTACATACAATTTATACGTGGAGAAGCTGCGGGGAAGATGCAAAGATGGAGATGGTGCTGAAGATGGGGCATCTGTGGAAATCCATGCAGATGTGGCCCGTTTCTTGGGTTCGCCTTTTGTTTTTGCCTCGTTTTGTAATAAATGTGTAAGATTTTATGTATCAGCAGCAGCAGGAATGAAAAGAGGGGTACAACAACCTTACGAGCACTTCTACCAGCAAAACTATCATACAACAGGGAGCATTTACTTCATCCCAATAAATAGAAAATCGAAGCAATCGAGCGCTGCAGTTTGCCCAAATTGAATTTGTTTTCGACATTGGAGCTTCGTTTGCGATTTAAAAAAGTGGAATGCAAAACAGATTGAAAGCTTAACTTTTTAAGAAATGTGAAATGTGAAAATTCCAATTACATAAGTAACAAAATTCTTTTTATTTTCATTAGACCTATGAAAATATATTTAATTTCTGTTTCCTGCATCCAGCACAAACAAATACCCATAATGGGGAAGGAAAATAATTGGGTGAAGATTCTTCCGTTTGCTTTTGCTCGCCTTTAAGTCCCTGCCATACTTACATAAAAACTTAAATACATACATACATGGCGAATGCGCAATATTACTTAGTAGTAAGGAGACGCGGGACATATGCAAATAACTGGCAATGAAGCAGCGCAGCAAGAAACACAAAGAAAAGTACAAAAGGGCACGAAAACTACAAGAAATAAAAAATGCTAATTTAATGTTATTGTTATTGTTGCTGTTTGCTTTGTCCTGTCTTTTTTCTGTCTTCGTGTCCTTTTTGACTTTGCCATGTCGTTTTGGATTTTCCTGAGTATTTCATTTTTTATTCCATTCCTTCGTTGTCTTCGCAGCGCTTTTATCTCTCTTCCTTTTCGGGCTTTGACACAAACAGGAAATGATTTATGCTGAAATGTTCAACGCAACTAATTTAAAAATTTTCGCGCCCCATCCAGCTCTCATATGCGAATATATGTACATATATGGGGGATCTTATACAAACAAAACTTATAGTCCTCCCGGTTAAAGTAAGCTCGATGCACACATTTATCTCTGTACTCGATGAATTTAATTTAACGGTTTGATCTGTACTCCATTCAATCGTCTTATGTTTAGTTGACTGAGAGTTTTCACAATTTTCAATTCTTTTCATGTTCTTTTTACTTTAGCTCTCTCCCTCTCGCCTCTCTCTCTCTCTCTCTCTCTCTCTGTCGAAGCTAGACTTCTCACTCCTGCTCACTACTCAATTCCGCGTTAAACTGGTCACTCTGGTCATACGCCTTTCCTTTCCTACATGTACAGAAACTACCTTAGTACATATATGTATACCCAAGAGCAATTTCAAAGGTCTACTGAATCTGACCTCAGGCAGTCATTAACTAATTGCAACTGAAGATATTAATAAAAAATCAAAATCGCATTACACTAAGCACACACGCACTCGGTAAAAAAGCCAATCAATTTGATTTTATTTGATGTAGCCTTAGCTCCTACGCGGGGGCCTCCACCCCACTGCAGTCGCCTCGGAAGCAAAACCATGAGCCATAAATCTTGAGCGCACTTGCGGCGCCCTTGCCTCCAGCCCCGTATCGGCCGCCTGCTAATCCAGCTCCTCCCATTGCAATTCGCCTGAGTGTCCTGCTGGGCACCGAGTGTTTGGTCATAGCACAATGTCCAAAATGCACATTGCAAAAATACTTGTAATACAAAGGGGATTTGTCACCGGGAGAGCTCCGGCTGTTGAATGCCCTACCTGCAGTTCTTCTTGGAAGAAGCTTAAGACCAAAATTAAAAGACAAAACTGTGTTTTGGGACATAAACTAAGTATGCCCCATCTTTCCGATTTTTAAATGGATTTTCACAACAAGATTCTATGTGGGCATATGCTCAACGCCCAAGATGTCTTTCATTTATAAAGCACCTCAGAAAAACCGCTTGAAACCTCCACTATTGCTCGCAACAGAAAAGAGAAATAAAAGAGACATCTGAAAGCAGAGGAAAATTCAACTTCTAATGTTAGACGGGTAGGTCCTCCACCCCACTCCTCCACAGCTCGTCCACACATGCGATGGGCATATGGCTACGCTGGAGTTCGGATAGCCCGGGTGCATTTAAAATAAACGACTGTGGCCAGCGCTCAATTTGGAATTAAATTGGCGCAAATACCAAAAATGTATACAATGGCAATGCAGCAAAAAAGGAATATGAACAGGATTTTTGAGAAAAAAAAAGATAGAATTGCCCAGAGAAAAATGTAAAAGCCCAACTCAAGTCGGGTGGAATTGAGCGATTGGTTTGTGCGGATTGTGCGGAGCACGTATACTCGTGAGTATGTTTCTGGTTCTCATCAGTTATAAACGGGCATCGGGAGCGCTCATTATGTGGCCACTTATGTATGTATGTATGTACAAAGTAAACAGCGTGGGAAAATGCGTTAGAAGTGACCAACGATGAGGGTCATAAGAGGGCCATGAGGAACTCAAGCTTATCACACACACATCGACTCCTCAGTTCAACCAACAAATTAGCCTCAAGTTCAAATGATTCCAGGTGAGACCCGCAGCAAGGCCGCATTTCGACTTTTATACCGGGTACTCAGTCCGCTCGTTTATGTTCGCAGGTCTCGTATGGGACTGAATCAACAAATAAGACAACGAGAAAAAATCGTTGTTTTGTAAGCTAGTCCAGTCCAACTTATACAATATTGACTCAAATTTCTAAAGCGACTGCTGCAAATTTAACTGCCATAGAAATTGTTGCATGTTTGTTGTATATTGCGGGCATTGAAAAGCACGTTGATAACACTACTCGACCAAATCCAACTTTGTTTTTAATCAAGGATCCAAACCGATTTTTTCTGATAGATATGGGACTTTAAAATTTTTTAAAGAATTATGGTTTTTTTCTATGTCAGAACTTTTTTTGAAGAATTTTGGAATTCAAATGAAATTTGAATTTGAAAGCATAATATCTTCCAGGCGTTAAGCTGCAGATACAAAGAGTATCGGATTTATAGCTGCATCTGTCAGCTTTTCAGAACTGCAAAGTTCTGTGCAACCAGATATAAGATACTTAAGTTATGTGAAAAATAGAAGCACTACCTCTGACTTTAAAAATGTCGAAAAAAAATTATATCCTGTGTTCTCTATTTTTGTGTAAGTGCATTAATTGGGCGTCGTTTAAGGTATCGCTCATTAAAAAGTGCTTTACAACCAGACGTAAGATACTAGAGTTATGTGAAAAAAAGAAGCGCTACCTCTGAAAAAAGCTTAAACAAATACCAGTTTTCAAAAATTCTTCAAAAAGAAGTTCTGACATAGTAAAAAAATATCATCAAACCATATCATCAAACCATATCATCAAACTAAGCCCCAAATCTTAAAGAAAAAGTTGGTTTTGTTCCTTGAGGAAAAATCGTGTCAAGTGGTGTAATTAATAAAAATTCTTTGTTAAGTGAGCTTGGTGTTGCATGTTGCTTGTATGTAGAGATCCGGAACAAGAGAGACAATTAGAAAATATTTTAACTAAACATTGATAGTTATTGAATACCTATATCTATATGGGATACAACAGAAATGATCTTTCGAGTAATTCAGCAAAACTATAAAATATATTTTTTGAAAACAATGTTTACCATTTTTTCGTCGGTGATCTTTCCCCTGCTGTGGCACTTAAATTTTGTGGCGATTCCCGCGTCGCCTTTTATAACCTACTCCTTTTGTCCTATTGGTGGCGTTCGTGCCCAGTTCCCCGGTATTGCAATCAATTTACTTTGCCGGATTGTGTCTCCTCTCGCCGCCTTTCTCTTTGGCAGCAATCAAAGCGAGCATAGAGTTCCGCCGCATGGCAATTGGAAGATCAAGAAAAACTCCGCCGGCAGTACAGCGGACTTGTGAACTGATTGCAAGCTGGTTTGATCCCAACGGATTTATTTGAGCCAACATTCTCAGCCAGCTTGAACTCGCAGTTCAATCTCATCCAGTTAATTTGTTCCGGAACACCCCCAAAACTTGAAAATGAAACTTAGGCAGCCCAACCCTTGCCATCTTCATTGCATTGCGAGTTAATAGATTTTTCATTTTTTTTATGCAAATTAGGGAGTGCGGGCAGGGCCTGAGTGATGGCATGGCAGTTGGAAGCGCGTTCGAAATCAAAGAAGGAAATGCACCGGAATTTCCAGCAGAATTTAATTACTCACAGCAGTCGGACGCACTGAACGCAAAATCAAACTCAGGCCCTGACTGAACCCCAAAGGACGGAAATCTGCTTCACGTCAAAGATGCGCCAGCAGCGGAGTGGAGCGGACTTGAAGCAGGCACGTCCTTGGCTCACTCCGGTTCATTTGTTTATGCATATTTTACGGCGCAAGGCTGTACGTTAACAGTTTCCCGCGGAGGGGTGTACGGTGGGAAAACGGCAGAGGCAGCACAAGACGCAGGACATCACATCCCTTATTCGTAACCATTGTCGCTGCTATTGTGGCCCGAGCAAACAGTCAGCTCGGCAGTCTCTATGCGATGACTTAATGATCGTTCGACACTAGCTTCCCGACGCACAGTGGGACTTGCATCCAGAAACCGAAACAAAAGTCGAGTTGAATTAAGTGAATGGATCCGATGGAATTTCTTTACAGATATCAATAAACATAAAAACAATGTGTGGATGTTACTATTCCTAGGATTTTATTCCTATGCAGACAGAGTCATTTTTAAAAGCTTAAGCTTATAGCATATAACTACAATAGTTTTGCGGAAGCCAATGTGCCCTTCCAAGCTATCTCTTTTCCCCCACACTTGATGGCTGGTTGGATGGGAATATCGTTTGCATATTCATTGGTCAGCCTCCCACGGTCCATGTATTCCGCGCTGGAGGTAGAGCCAGGGAATGGGGCATCGTTCGTACACTTGCTTTGAGCGTAAATATTTTAAGCACTTTAAACAATTCATTAATTTACATTTAGCTTTTTGCCTCGATGCTTCAAGAGCTGCCCATAACTTCGTGCCCTGCTGTAAGAGTCTCGGGAGCGGGAGATAAAAGCGAAAATGGGATCGTAATGTGCAATTGTCCGATTAAAAGTGTAGGGGAAGCCGTAAGTACTCTTGAGGACATTCGCCAGATGCAGTCGCAGTTAGTTAGAACAGTTAATGAACTTAAGTAAATATGTGGGCGACTCGGGCCTTGGGCCATTCTATAGCTTATTAAAAGTAATTTGTATGGCAACCGCCCTACTCGTATCTTCCTATGTCACATATCCATATTCATAAATGTGCATGCACTAACGGCCACAATTTCGATCCAAAAAGTAGAAATGTTCAATCAATTTCTAGAGCAATTTCAATTTTGAAACTGAGAGTGGGCACTAATTTCATTGGTCAATAGGTGTTTTGCAAATTAAGCACAATAGACACATATGTATGTACATATGTACTGAATGAACAGAAAATCGAAAAACTGGTCGGTCGGCAGTTGGAGATGAACTCTTAAACACTGGCCGGTAATTGCCAAGAGCTACAATACAGCCAGAACAGGCCCCACTTCTCTCTCGGTGTGCAATTTTCCCATTCAAGCATCCATCTCAGTGATGATGCTCTGAAAAACCTCCCTCTGCTGCTTCTGCTACTAATTGCAACAACAATTCCAATGAACTAAACTGAATCTGAAAGCAGAACTAGAAATAGAAAGGAAGATAAACTACAACTAGGCCACAAGTCGAACGTAATGTTCGTATCTAGGAAAGGGGCGTAAAATGGCGAAAAGCGAGGATCTGGGGGATAACCAGATGGGCGCATTTCACAAATTATAATCGTCATTTGTCAGAGATTCAATGCACTCGGAAGAGTGCAGTCGGCGCTCAGGCTAGGAGCGGACTTGGACTCGGACTCGGACTTGGACAGTCCTTCACCCAGATTCCAGTGGTGTCTGGAGTGGGAGACTCGAGGGTGGGGCATTTGCCTTCTGATTTTTATTGACACATTGAAATGACAGGGGACAAGGCAGAGCTGGGCTGCATAAGAAGATGAAAAAAGGGAATTAGCAATGCACTTGGCCAGATGACATTAGAACAATTAACAATTAATTGACGTTGATAAAAGACTGCTTTCAACAGAACTCACACATTTCATTTCTATTACATTTTTATATTCATAAACACATATAATTAAATAAAATCTGTGCCCATTTCAAATGAATTTCTGGGGGCCGCGTCATGCCCTACGCCTGCAACGTACACCGAAGAGCTCCAGGCCAGGACGACACTTCTGCATGGTGTCGAACAGCATTGATCCGAAGGCGTCGCGCATGGTTACACTAAGATCTTCAATGTGACCGATGTCACAGCTGGCCATGAGCGGGCCTGTGGCGAGCAGACCCGCACAGGGTGTTTCGTACACCAGCTGCTGGTTAAATCTAGAGACCGCCACACAGAGACGTACCTGCTGGAGCTGCAGGAGCCAGGGAATTACCAATTGCCAGTTTGCCTGACTCCACTCCAAATCGTCTCCAGCGCTGTCCATCAGAAGGTCGTTTCCGGCTATGAGATCGGAGTCCGGAAAGGGGACGAGCTGGGGCAGAGAGCTATGAAAGCAAAAACTGTACAGGATGAGCAGCTTCAAACGTAGATGACTAATTGTTGGATAAATTTTCGTATAATTCCCCATAGAAGGGTTTTATGTACAACTTCGTACTCGATCGACTGTTTGCGATGGCTTCTGCTAGCCAAATGCTAATATAATATAAGCTGCCAAACCTCAGCGACTCATACGTGATACTGATATATCTGGGGAGTATCAGGTTAGCACTTTACTGGCGTATCAGTCAGCACGAATTTAAACGGATCCGTTGGAGCTGGAAGAAGATTTGTGAAATGTCTGGAGCTCAGAACCACACTGATACAGCCATGAGAATCTTTGTTGACATTTGCCGCAACTATACGTACTGTCGAACGTTTGCTGCCCCTTTCACAATTTGCGTTGCAGCTACTTCGAAATGTTTGTTATTTAATTTCAGCTTAAACTTCGGGTAAGCTGGCTACGTGACTTTCGGTTGCTTTTGAGTGGCAGCCACAGCAGCTGCCTGTGATTCATCTTCCCGAGTATACCCTTTCAGAGGGAATTATTGCTTCGATTAAATCATTTTAGTCGGTGTCTGTCGCATATTCCCAAGCGATTTCATCAATTTAAAATAAATGTTTATCTTTACTTTTATTGCCAATGCGGGCATTTTACTTGCTATTTTGTTTTCTTCAAAGTGAACTGCAGATAGAACATAATATATGTATGTATGTTGTGTGGATATACCATTAGGCTGGGCCAAAATTTGACCAAAAAATTAATTTTTTGTTTTTTCAAAGGGACACCCCCCAATTCTATTCTTTGTTATTCAATAAAATTATATAATTTTTTTCAAATTTTTAGTTTAATGTTTAAGGGTTTGCTACCACGGAAAGAAAAAAAAATGTTTGGGTAAATATACATAAAAAAAAAATTGAATTCGTAGGTTTTTTCAAATAATATTGAAACTTAGAAACTAGTTCATATTGATAATAGGGTATTTTTATTTTTTTTTTTTAGTTACTGTTAAAAAATTAACGATTGGTGAAAATCAAGAAGTTCAGCTGAGGTTGATATATTTAGTTAACTAGTTCGCAAAAACTTGTGCAGGTTTCTTACTGCCAATAACTGATTAATGACGATATGAATGGTATCAATATATATGCAATAGATTTCACCAATTATAATTGGATAATTATCCAACTCATTCAGCAACAAATTTTTTTTTTAATTTTCTTGACGTCCCAGCCTAATATACATTCATATGTATGCATTTAAATGGACGTCGAAATGAAAGTGTATAGACGTTTCGATGCGAACAAAATAAGCTGTTCTTTTTCTTTTATATCTCTAACTGCGAATGACGTCAATGTTTGACGGCAAATATAAAAGCAAATTAAATTTTTTTTAAATTCCGTTGGCGTTAATAACACTAGTCAACACGATTTTTCCTCAAGGAATAAAACGAAATTTTTCTTAAAGATTTGGCGCTTAGAAATGGTTTGATGATATTTTTTTTTTTTCTATGGCAGAACTTTTTTTAAAGAATTTTTGAAAACTGGTATTTTTTTTTAACCTTTTTTCAGAGGTAGCGATTGTTTTTTTCACATAACTCTAGTATCTTACGTTTAGTTGTAAAGAACTTTGCTACTTTGAAAAGATAATTAAAACAGCTAGAAGTTGAGCCTAAGCACTTTGTGATTTCAGCTTACCGTCTGGGAAATATAAAGCATTGAAATGCAAAAATGATGATTTTTGTGCGGTATTTTTTACGAAATTTTGACTTTAAAAACTCAGGAAAAGTGGAAAAAAAATATATACTGTATCCTTTATTTTGTTCTGTATAGGTGCATTAATTTGTTCATTTTGTTAATTTTTTAGGTTTGGTTAACGAATTTTAGCTCCAAAGTCTCTCCATAGATTTTAATGAACGATACCTTAAACGACGCCAAATTAATGCACCTATACAGAAAAAAATAGAGGACACAGGATATATTTTTTTTTTCCACTTTGCCTGAGTTTTAAAGTCAAAATTTCGTAAAAAATACCGCACAAAAATCATCATTTTTGCATTTCAATGCTTTATATTTCCCAGACGGTAAGCTGAAATCACAAAGTGTTTAGGCTCAACTTCTAGCTGTTTTAATTATCTTTTCAAAATAGCAAAGCGCTACCTCTGAAAAAAGCTTAAAAAAAAATACCAGATTTCAAAAATTCTTAAAAAAAAAGTTCTGCCATAGAAAAAAAACCATAATTCTTTAAAAAATTGTAAAGCCCCATATCTATCAGAAAAAGTCCGTTTGGATCCTTGAGGAAAAAAAAAGTTCGATTTTGTCGAGTAGTGTAAGTGAACATTTAGCAGGCCAACATTTTCTTAAGACTTAAAAAAAAGTTCAGTTTTTGAGGCTACAAATGAAAGTCGGTCAAAACTTTCAAAAATAATCAATATATACATACACATCGTTTGGCTAAAAAAATTCTTTATTAAATACTATATGATCGAACATTTCAGAAATTTTTAACAATTGGAATATGTTGGTCAGCACTTCTGAGTACAATTATTTTAAAGTTAATTAGTTAAAAAATCGGTTTTATTGTGACCAATAAATAAAGCTGTCCCAAGCAAAGGGCACACAAAATACTGATATGACAGACCTAAAAAAAGCTGCAAAACATAGGTATAGGATAGGTTTATAGATTTATCATAGACCAACAGCTGACGCCTATGTACGGTATTACGGAAAAACAGCCGAAATGGGAAAAGGAACAAACGTCAAACGTGCCACGCAAAACGCCACACGGACATTGAAATAATAATTTTTTAATAATAAATCGTACACAACAAAAACGGCCATATTGATAGTTCGTTCCGGTCGAGGGATGGCTTTCAGTGAATGGAGAAGGGATGAGCATGGAGTATAGTCTATGCCCACAACCACCGCAAAAGGAAAAATGGCGCAGAGAGACTTGCCTTTTTTTTCTGGGTCCGGAAACAAATTACAGCAAACAATTTAAAAAATGTTTGCAAACAAATAGGAGCCAAGAGAAGCAACAAAAGTGTGGCAAGAGGATGGGGATGACGGAAATGTTATCAAGGCAACAAGACAACGGACATAAAACCGGATCTACAGTGGAAGGGACTCCTATTATACATAACTCTTAAATTAGGAGTCCAGAAATAATGGGAAAACATTTTTGTATATCATATCAATAGTAGAAAGTAAAAATTCCTATTTTAGCTCTAAGCGTCGCTTTCAAATCAAATCCTCTTTGAGGGAGCACCACTGTAATACAGAGAGGCTAGGCGCAAACAACAGTCACCCTAGATAAAAGCCTTTGCACTGCCTACACTGCGTCCGCTCCCATTATTCCCTGGGACTCTACTCCTTTCCAGATATCCTCTTCCTGCTTTAACCTTTTCGTTTCACTTAGTTAGGCAAAAAATAAAATTTTTATTATCCAAATGCATAAATGAATAGAAAATAGTTAAACAAAAACCGAATGCATAGCAGGACGAAGTTCAGAAGGCACGGCCACCAAGACCAGGTGCCCTGTGGTACGGACATTTTGCTGATTCGTGTGCTATTTTTGGACTCCATGGAAAAATCTGTTGTTCTCAGCAGAAAACTACCCTTTGTCGCTTCCTGTTGGTTCCCAATATTATTAATATTGTTTAGCGAAATATGTAAAATTATTTAACGTTTAATAGAACTAATAGCCACATAGGAGTTTGCCCCAAGTATACCCATGTTTGGGAAGATAACTTTTTGTGGTTGAAAAACTCATCCCATTTTTTAAAGCTTTGCAATGGAATTTTAAGCATTAGGCAATTAGCAAGTTTCATAGCAAAATGGAGTCTCCGCACTACCAACACAAGGCGCAAACTTTTTGCTACATATCAATTAACAAATAATATACAAGTTGACAAACAGAAAGCCCTGAAGGCAAAACTATCTAAAAACTTGCACATGGGAAACTTGTTTCGCCAAGCAAATCAGAAAGCCATCATCAAGAGTCCGAGAGTAGAGCGACAGTGAACCCCTATTTGCATTTCAGCCCAATGAAGGAGTGGAAGAGGTACTAGCCCTATAGTCCTATAAGGCATGTACTCGTACATGTGAATAGGGATAGGATCCAAGCAAATTTCTGCCTCGCCCACTTTAAAAGTAATTTATCTTTTTTGCGCCTCGTCCACTGGGTATGCGCAACATGCAATTTGCATAAAACTTGCTTGTATGCTGCTGTTGTGCTGCCTTGGACCCTTCGGCATGAAATCCACTTTGTTGCCAGGCCTTCGCACTCTCACAGTTTGGATGTCGTCGCCGCTCCTCTTGTTAATTGCGACACTTCCTAGCGAATAGGTTTTCAATAAGGCAGCTCCATAGCTACCCGTACATAAATTTCTTTTGTTTCAATCACTCTCCTAATGACTTTCCATTGTTTGAGTATAAAAATTAAACAAATTTGTGTCAACGAAAGTGGCTCCACCACAGCAAACGAGTAGAAAAGATAGTATTAAGCACCAGCTGTATAAAGGATGATATCAAGAACACAGAAGGGCGACAGTTTAAATTTTAATCAAAGTTCATACGAGGAGGGAAGAGAAAACTATTGTTTTATTGGTTTATGGGTCCACCTTAGTTATTTAGGAGTCCTGTGTTATTTTTGTATATCGATAGACTTTATGATCTAAATACCTTATGTATGTATTAATTATTAATTAATTAATAATGTAAATTTCCTTGCATTGAAATCTAGCCACAAGTTTTGGATCCCCTTCAAGGGTATTGAAACTTTAAAACGAAATGAATATATTCAAGTAAACAAATCGTTAACTGTTCTATTGATCACCACCATTTAAATTTGTGTCCTTTCTAATAACGCAAAGTGCTTTAGATCTATTTTTTAGCCCACACACTTGCTCTACCGGAACATACATACATACAGATGTACATTAGGCTGGACCAAAAAAAATTTTTTTCGAAATTGAAACGGGCCCACCCTAGTTTTGTTACCTTGGATTTAATAGTAATTTACATGATTTTATTTTTTTTTATTTTTATTTTTTAGAGGTTGCTACCTAACTTTACAAAAAATTTTAATCAAGAAAATTAAAAAAAAAATTTTTGGTGAATGAGTTCGATAATTAAAAAGTAAGTAAAAAACCTGCACAAGTTTTTGCGAACTATTTAACTAAATATATCACTCAGCTGAACTTCTTGATTTTTACCAATCGTTAGTTTTTTAACAGTAACTAAAAAAAAATAAAAAATAAAAATACCTTATTATCAATATGAACTAGTTTCTAAGTTTTAATATTATTTGAAAAAACCGCCGAACTCAATTTTTTT